GGGGGGGGGTTGGTGGGGTATGGCGGCCTTTTTTTTCACTGTCGCACTTCGTCGAACGCCGCCCACCACCCCGTAGCCCCTGACGCGCGCGTGTGGAAACCGGTTTCGCGTTCAATTTTTTCGCGCCACGTGGCACGTGGTGCGTTTGAACGCGATTGAACGCGGCACAGGCGCGTTTGAACGTGAACGCGCGTTCAGCGCGTTCAAACGGTTACATAGGCCAACAGTACTTTCTTTCTTTTTTTTTTTTTTTTTTTCTTCTCTCAATTTCACCTCACACTACCTACCTACCACTACTCCTAATTGTAGGCATACGGGGAACCCCGTAGCAGCCAGAACCGTGTTCACGAGAGAACATGAGGGGGCTGCTCCCGACCTGCAGGTGGGCGATACCGGCTAGGGGGCAGCAGGTAGCATCAGGGACCATGCCAACAGGACCAATCCTGTGCCTCCCGTCAGGTCCCCTCCCCTACGAACATCAGCAGACTCTGCTCAATGCCGATCGGGGGATCCAGTGGTCTATCTCTAGGTGGCGGGCGCCAAGCATGTCAAGGAAAGGTACATGAGGCCAATGGGGATTGAACCCATGACCTCCTGAATGCCACTTGCGAGCCTTACCAACTGAGTTAGGCCGCTGGATTTTTTATTTTTTTTTCCCCTCATCCTCACAGCTTTCCTTTCATTTGCTTTTCTATGGCACAGCACAGAGAGTCTGTGCATGTTTCTACATGCACGGAAATCCAAGAGCCCATATTGCTGTCCATTCGCAACTTTCCCTGGGCCCAACAACTTCCTCCTCCATCGCACGACCGGGCCTTCCTCGACCCGCGAAAGTTGCGGCGCATTAACGAGTAAGGACCGCGGCCCATGTATCGGCCAAGTACTGGTGGTTTAACTGGCGTTCTTTTTTTTAAAGTAATCTATATTCTTCTCTCAATCTTCTTTGTATATATTTTATCTCATCCTCTCGCTACTCTATATATAGTACGGGGGAACACCAACCAAACCTGGAACTCTCCCCAGCGCATGGGGTAGGTTTGCACCACAGCAGTGGTGCGAGAGCAAGGCTTGTACCAGCAGGGTGATCACGCATTGCCAACGGGGGAAACCGGCGATGCTAGTGCCGAGCATCTTTGGCCAGTCACTTGCTATGCAGCAATGATATTCGCCATTAGACACCGCTAATGTGGGGTTGGAGTGGGGTAGGGGGAGGTTTAACTGGCGTTCTGCCATGTCATGGAACATATCTTTCTTTTCACTACCTACCACTACTCCTAGATTCCTGAGGCTACACAGCGGACCCTCTACCTCTCTTCGGTGAAGGGATATCTTTCTTTTCACTACCTACCACTACTCCTAGCTTCCTAAGGCTATACAGCGGACCCCTGCAAGCATAGCTTTCTACCTCTCTTCGGTGAAGGGAGGTTACCTCTCTCGGTGGAGAGGGGTAACGGCATGTTTGCCGCTTTGCCCTAGAGTTTTATGATGCAGGGTTTGGGCCGCCAGTGGGGGCCCGGCTAGCACAAGGACCGAGCATTTGCCAGTAACTATGCCTCCCTTTTCATCTTCCCCCACCCCCATCTAGTAACAACAGTGTGTCTAAAGCCAACATTCTCCCACACACCACACACAACCCACTCACACATGCACTCACAGCCGTGTTGGCTGAAGACCTTACTGATACCACAGACTGGGAGGATCCAGCTGAGTATCTCAGTTGGTTGGCACCAAGAGTGCTACAGGCAGCCATTGGGATTGAACCCACGATCTCCTGAACAAACAACTCTGAAGACATCAGGAAGTTACGACTACGCTTTAAACCCCGTCAGTGTTAGTCCGGTACCCAGAATATATATATATATATATATATATATATATATATATATATATATATATATATCGTCACAAATAGAACTGCCCGGTAAACCGTAGGCAGAGAGAGAGAAGAGGACAACAAACGAGGGGCTGTGACAAACTGTTTCGTCGGAGTTTCACCGACTCATCAGGAGGCTGAACCCTCAACAGTCTGCAGAATCCCCTCACTGATTACACTGTAAATGATAATCTACCTTAACCAAAATCAAAGTAGACTATCACTCACCCACACCAGATGGAAAACTCTACAGACTGTCGGTTCACACCCCATCACAAGCCAGCAAAACATCCACGAAACAAAGAAAGGTCTGTCACAGCCAAAAAATACACTCCAGACACGCCGCTATATATCGTCAAATAGAACTGCCCGGTAAACCGTAGGCAGAGAGGGAGAAGAGGACAACAAACGAGGGGCTGTGACAAACTGTTTCGTCGGAGTTTCACCAGAATATATATATTAGCCTCAAAGCGGAGAAAGGTATTCGCCATCTGTTCTTTTCATCAGGCAGGGCGAGATCCCACTGGCAAACAGGATTGTAGTAAGTGTCTGAATGTGGACGTGCTTGTGGACAGTTGCAAAAAATTGTGGTTGATCTACTTTTCTGCATGTTTGTGTGGAACACGTCCAGATTCAGACACTTATTCCAATCCTCTTTGCCAGTGGGATCTGGACAGCCCCATAAATTCACTTCTTCTTTTTGGTTCCCTGTTCTTTGTCTCGTCAGCAGATTGTTTCTGTGCCTTCATTCGTCGGTTGGAATCTTTCAGTTTTGGGAAGAATCTAGGCTTTTGCATTTTTTTTAAGAAGACCCTTGCCATTTCCAGGTTGGATCGTAATTGCAGTCAGATACATTTAGGAAATTGCTAGTGTGAGTATGGGCCTCGCTACAGCACTGGTGAGTGATCACCATGCAGATTTCTTACCTAACTAGCAAAGTCTCACCACTCTACCTTTTTCCCCCGAGAAGAAGTACTCTCATTAAAGCTGTATTTAGACTGAAAGATACCCCAAATACATTAATTATGACCGTCCGTTGTATTCGGGGGAAGTGGTTAGTGCCATCTCTCTTCCAACTCAGCAGACTCACACGGCTGTGTTCCTTCGATTGTTCGGGACTGAGCAGAGTCAGCAGACAGGGGCGAGCTCACTACGATATTGGTGAGCACGGAGGGCATACTCACAATAGCACTTTCCAAAATGCATCTGACTGCAATTACGCCCGGGCGTGGCCGAATGTGACAGCGATCACGTCCATAGCTTTGTAGAAAAAGTAGCCATGTGAGTATACCCTGAGCAAGGGAGAGGAGGCACCACGACTCCACCTCTACAGACAGGGGAGAACTGCCCAGGTTGTGTGAGCCACGCCGAGGCACCACAACCCAGCCTCTGCAGACAGGCAAAACGGCGGCCGTGGTGAGCACTCAAGGTCCATTTATCACAGATAAAACAGGGGGGCTCTGACTGAACGGCCGTGGTGAGTTGGCGGAGCTATGGCGGCTCATCATCTCCATAAAGCCATCCGCCACGTGGCATTATCTACATCGGGTTGAACCCTTTCAGTGGAGAATTTCACCGAAGGGTGTGTGCGTTGCTGCGAGACTGGAATAGCGATGATGGGAGTTCGATCGACCAGGTAGGATTAGCGGTCGCCGGTCGCACTGCTGCGTAGTGAATTTCAAACTGCCAGGAGAGAGAGAGAGAGAGAGAGAGAGAGAGAGAGAGAGAGAGAGAGAGAGAGAGAGAGAGAGAGAGAAAGAGCTCTACTGCATCGGGCCGATGGCGCTCCTTGCGATTGTTCGGTTGTTGTCGTCATAATTAAGAAGTGGACAGGGAAAAAAAGAGGGGGGGAGAGAGAGAGAGAGAGAGAGAGAGGGAGAGGTTGCCCAAAAAGGTGAGCTTTTCTCTTTTTGTGTGCGTAGTTGGGAGAAAGGGGAATATAGAGGGAGGGATCGCGACCCGACCTCCACTCGCCGCACCCGACACAATGGAGTTCTCTGTGTGCTCAAGCCAGTTGAATGAAACGTTGCAGCTTATCGCCCGCGCGTCCAACTTGACGCCGACCGAGATGGATCAAATGAGGTCTTATTTCTGTAGTTTCGGCCAACATTTTCAGAGGATGGATACGACTATGTATAGCTTGGGTACTAGTGTGGACGCGGCTTTCTTGCTCTTCTCGGCGTACCTGGTTTTCGTGCTGCAAGCAGGGTTTGCCATGCTGACCGCCGGATCTGCGAGAGCACAGAACAAGTTGAACGTCATGCTTACGACTGTCGTGGATGCAGCTGTGTGCGCGATCTTCTACTACATTTTCGGGTTCGCTTGCGCCTATGGGAGACCGTGGAACGGCTTCGTCGGCAGAGGGGACTTCACCGAATGGCTCAACTTGGCCAACTCCGCCCAGTTCGACGAGTACTTCAATCCCAGGCGTGGAGAAAACCATCCCTGGAATCCGTTGGCAAACCATCGCGTGTGGGTGTTCGAGTGGGCAACTGCTGCAGCTGTGGCAGCCATCGCCAGCGGGGCTATGGCGGAGAGAAGCCAGGTCACAGCACATGTAGCTTGCTCGGCTTTCCTGTCCGGATTCGTTTATCCGGTGATCTGCCATTGGGTGTGGGAACCACACGGGTGGCTTAGTGTTTACAGCCAAGGAACTCGCTTGATGGGGGTTGGCATGATTGATATCGCGGGCAGCGGGGCCATCCACCTGACGGGCGCCATCGCCGGTTTCTGGGGCGCTATCATCTTGGGCCCTCGCCGCGGGCGATTCCACTCAAACGGCGCTGATGACGCCGCGCAGCCAAAGGAGAGTAGTAGTCAAGGAGGCAGGAGCACACTTGTCGTTATGGGCACTTTGCTGCTGTGGCTTGGGTGGTACGGAATCAACCCGGGTTCGATTCTCGGCATTGTTCCCAAACACTACGTTGCGATGGACGTGGTTGTGGACAGAGCCGCCGTCACCACCACTCTAGCCGGCGCCGCCGCCGCCATTACCATGCTCTTCGCACGGAGGTTGATGAGAGGTCGCTGGGACGTCGAGGACGCGTGCAGTGGGCTTCTGGGCGGATTGGTGGCTGTATCCGCCGGGTGCACAGTGATAGAGCCGTCGGTTGCAGTGCTCCTCGGCTTCCTCGCCGCGTGGATGTTGATTGGCACGAAGCAGCTGGCGATGGCGGTCGGTTTGGACGACCCAGTCGAAGCGGTCCAGCGCCACGGTGCCTGCGGCCTGCTCGGACTCTTGTTCGTTGGACTCCTTGCCAAGGAGGACCATGTCATGCAAACCTTTGGAGATGGCTATTCAAACCAAGAGACTCCATGCGGATGGTTGTACGGAATTAGAGGCAGAAAACTACTGGCGGCGCAGGCGATCGGTGCTGCTTGTGTCGTTGGTTGGACCTCCGTGGCTATGGCGCCGTTGTTCTTGATGCTCCGAATGGCCGGCTTGCTGCGGATCAGCGAAGAAGAGGAGGATGCGAGACTTGGCTTCAGCGCTGATGATAACTATGAGCACGTTCTCGGCCAAGAGCGCTGACGAAGCTGAGCTCCTAATAGCCACTGTTGTGGGAACTTGAGGGCCACCCATATATGCCCAGCGTAAATTAGGGCAAGCGGAGGGTAGGAGGGAGGGAGGGAAAGGAGGGGGGGGGGGAGGGAGAGAGAGAGAGAGAGAGAGAGAGAGAGAGAGAGAGAGAGAGAGAGAGAGAGAGAGAGAGAGAGAGAGAGAGAGAGGCTAGGGTTGGTAGAAAGCGCCCACGCCAAAACCTTTTCGGTTTAGTACCGGCCCAATGTTTTCCATGTGGGGTACTACAGGCCCACGCGTAGCTCCAAGTGAATCTGGTCCAATTCACAGGTCCAGATTCAACGGTTTAGTACCGGCCCAATGTTTTCCATGTGGGGTACTACGGTCCCACGCGTAGCTCCAAGTGAATCTGGTCCAATTCACAGGTCCAGATTCATTTTGATGTAGAAGAGGCCGAGGGTGGTACTGGGGAAGGATAGAATGAGGCCCACGTACAGTATTTTGAAAAAGAAGGGCCCTACCGGTTCATGAATCTGACACAAAAACAGATCCAAATTCATGAACCGGTAAAAACAGGCAAAGGGAGCCTCGGCCACGGCCCGAAGAAGGCTTTAACCAGGCTGAAGACATTTGGGCCGGTAGTACCAAACGGCCGAACTTTGGGCGCCGAAAACCGAAAAGGTTTTGGCATGGTGCTTTCTACCAATTATCCCGAGAGAGAGAGAGGTGATTAAGAGACGGGAATGTGACTGTGAGAGCAGGACTTGTACAAAGCCAGTATACTGTTTGGGTGCCGAAAACTGCACCCAAAACCGAAAAGCTTTTGGCATGGCGCTTTCTCCGAATTATCCCGAGAGAGAGAGAGGTGATTAAGAGACGGGAATGTGACTGTGAGAGCAGGACTTGTACAAAGCCAGTATACTGTTTGGGTGCCGAAAACTGCACCCAAAACCGAAAAGCTTTTGGCATGGCGCTTTCTCCGAATTATCCCGAGAGAGAGAGAGGTGATTAAGAGACGGGAATGTGACTGTGAGAGCAGGACTTGTACAAAGCCAGTATACTGTTTGGGTGCCGAAAACTGCACCCAAAACCGAAAAGCTTTTGGCATGGCGCTTTCTCCGAATTATCCCGAGAGAGAGAGAGGTGATTAAGAGACGGGAATGTGACTGTGAGAGCAGGACTTGTACAAAGCCAGTATACTGTTTGGGTGCCGAAAACTGCACCCAAAACCGAAAAGCTTTTGGCATGGCGCTTTCTCCGAATTATCCCGAGAGAGAGAGAGGTGATTAAGAGACGGGAATGTGACTGTGAGAGCAGGACTTGTACAAAGCCAGTATACTGTTTGGGTGCCGAAAACTGCACCCAAAACCGAAAAGCTTTTGGCATGGCGCTTTCTCCGAATTATCCCGAGAGAGAGAGAGGTGATTAAGAGACGGGAATGTGACTGTGAGAGCAGGACTTGTACAAAGCCAGTATACTGTTTGGGTGCCGAAAACTGCACCCAAAACCGAAAAGCTTTTGGCATGGCGCTTTCTCCGAATTATCCCGAGAGAGAGAGAGGTGATTAAGAGACGGGAATGTGACTGTGAGAGCAGGACTTGTACAAAGCCAGTATACTGTTTGGGTGCCGAAAACTGCACCCAAAACCGAAAAGCTTTTGGCATGGCGCTTTCTCCGAATTATCCCGAGAGAGAGAGAGGTGATTAAGAGACGGGAATGTGACTGTGAGAGCAGGACTTGTACAAAGCCAGTATACTGTTTGGGTGCCGAAAACTGCACCCAAAACCGAAAAGCTTTTGGCATGGCGCTTTCTCCGAATTATCCCGAGAGAGAGAGAGGTGATTAAGAGACGGGAATGTGACTGTGAGAGCAGGACTTGTACAAAGCCAGTATACTGTTTGGGTGCCGAAAACTGCACCCAAAACCGAAAAGCTTTTGGCATGGCGCTTTCTCCGAATTATCCCGAGAGAGAGAGAGGTGATTAAGAGACGGGAATGTGACTGTGAGAGCAGGACTTGTACAAAGCCAGTATACTGTTTGGGTGCCGAAAACTGCACCCAAAACCGAAAAGCTTTTGGCATGGCGCTTTCTCCGAATTATCCCGAGAGAGAGAGAGGTGATTAAGAGACGGGAATGTGACTGTGAGAGCAGGACTTGTACAAAGCCAGTATACTGTTTGGGTGCCGAAAACTGCACCCAAAACCGAAAAGCTTTTGGCATGGCGCTTTCTCCGAATTATCCCGAGAGAGAGAGAGGTGATTAAGAGACGGGAATGTGACTGTGAGAGCAGGACTTGTACAAAGCCAGTATACTGTTTGGGTGCCGAAAACTGCACCCAAAACCGAAAAGCTTTTGGCATGGCGCTTTCTCCGAATTATCCCGAGAGAGAGAGAGGTGATTAAGAGACGGGAATGTGACTGTGAGAGCAGGACTTGTACAAAGCCAGTATACTGTTTGGGTGCCGAAAACTGCACCCAAAACCGAAAAGCTTTTGGCATGGCGCTTTCTCCGAATTATCCCGAGAGAGAGAGAGGTGATTAAGAGACGGGAATGTGACTGTGAGAGCAGGACTTGTACAAAGCCAGTATACTGTTTGGGTGCCGAAAACTGCACCCAAAACCGAAAAGCTTTTGGCATGGCGCTTTCTCCGAATTATCCCGAGAGAGAGAGAGGTGATTAAGAGACGGGAATGTGACTGTGAGAGCAGGACTTGTACAAAGCCAGTATACTGTTTGGGTGCCGAAAACTGCACCCAAAACCGAAAAGCTTTTGGCATGGCGCTTTCTCCGAATTATCCCGAGAGAGAGAGAGGTGATTAAGAGACGGGAATGTGACTGTGAGAGCAGGACTTGTACAAAGCCAGTATACTGTTTGGGTGCCGAAAACTGCACCCAAAACCGAAAAGCTTTTGGCATGGCGCTTTCTCCGAATTATCCCGAGAGAGAGAGAGGTGATTAAGAGACGGGAATGTGACTGTGAGAGCAGGACTTGTACAAAGCCAGTATACTGTTTGGGTGCCGAAAACTGCACCCAAAACCGAAAAGCTTTTGGCATGGCGCTTTCTCCGAATTATCCCGAGAGAGAGAGAGGTGATTAAGAGACGGGAATGTGACTGTGAGAGCAGGACTTGTACAAAGCCAGTATACTGTTTGGGTGCCGAAAACTGCACCCAAAACCGAAAAGCTTTTGGCATGGCGCTTTCTCCGAATTATCCCGAGAGAGAGAGAGGTGATTAAGAGACGGGAATGTGACTGTGAGAGCAGGACTTGTACAAAGCCAGTATACTGTTTGGGTGCCGAAAACTGCACCCAAAACCGAAAAGCTTTTGGCATGGCGCTTTCTCCGAATTATCCCGAGAGAGAGAGAGGTGATTAAGAGACGGGAATGTGACTGTGAGAGCAGGACTTGTACAAAGCCAGTATACTGTTTGGGTGCCGAAAACTGCACCCAAAACCGAAAAGCTTTTGGCATGGCGCTTTCTCCGAATTATCCCGAGAGAGAGAGAGGTGATTAAGAGACGGGAATGTGACTGTGAGAGCAGGACTTGTACAAAGCCAGTATACTGTTTGGGTGCCGAAAACTGCACCCAAAACCGAAAAGCTTTTGGCATGGCGCTTTCTCCGAATTATCCCGAGAGAGAGAGAGGTGATTAAGAGACGGGAATGTGACTGTGAGAGCAGGACTTGTACAAAGCCAGTATACTGTTTGGGTGCCGAAAACTGCACCCAAAACCGAAAAGCTTTTGGCATGGCGCTTTCTCCGAATTATCCCGAGAGAGAGAGAGGTGATTAAGAGACGGGAATGTGACTGTGAGAGCAGGACTTGTACAAAGCCAGTATACTGTTTGGGTGCCGAAAACTGCACCCAAAACCGAAAAGCTTTTGGCATGGCGCTTTCTCCGAATTATCCCGAGAGAGAGAGAGGTGATTAAGAGACGGGAATGTGACTGTGAGAGCAGGACTTGTACAAAGCCAGTATACTGTTTGGGTGCCGAAAACTGCACCCAAAACCGAAAAGCTTTTGGCATGGCGCTTTCTCCGAATTATCCCGAGAGAGAGAGAGGTGATTAAGAGACGGGAATGTGACTGTGAGAGCAGGACTTGTACAAAGCCAGTATACTGTTTGGGTGCCGAAAACTGCACCCAAAACCGAAAAGCTTTTGGCATGGCGCTTTCTCCGAATTATCCCGAGAGAGAGAGAGGTGATTAAGAGACGGGAATGTGACTGTGAGAGCAGGACTTGTACAAAGCCAGTATACTGTTTGGGTGCCGAAAACTGCACCCAAAACCGAAAAGCTTTTGGCATGGCGCTTTCTCCGAATTATCCCGAGAGAGAGAGAGGTGATTAAGAGACGGGAATGTGACTGTGAGAGCAGGACTTGTACAAAGCCAGTATACTGTTTGGGTGCCGAAAACTGCACCCAAAACCGAAAAGCTTTTGGCATGGCGCTTTCTCCGAATTATCCCGAGAGAGAGAGAGGTGATTAAGAGACGGGAATGTGACTGTGAGAGCAGGACTTGTACAAAGCCAGTATACTGTTTGGGTGCCGAAAACTGCACCCAAAACCGAAAAGCTTTTGGCATGGCGCTTTCTCCGAATTATCCCGAGAGAGAGAGAGGTGATTAAGAGACGGGAATGTGACTGTGAGAGCAGGACTTGTACAAAGCCAGTATACTGTTTGGGTGCCGAAAACTGCACCCAAAACCGAAAAGCTTTTGGCATGGCGCTTTCTCCGAATTATCCCGAGAGAGAGAGAGGTGATTAAGAGACGGGAATGTGACTGTGAGAGCAGGACTTGTACAAAGCCAGTATACTGTTTGGGTGCCGAAAACTGCACCCAAAACCGAAAAGCTTTTGGCATGGCGCTTTCTCCGAATTATCCCGAGAGAGAGAGAGGTGATTAAGAGACGGGAATGTGACTGTGAGAGCAGGACTTGTACAAAGCCAGTATACTGTTTGGGTGCCGAAAACTGCACCCAAAACCGAAAAGCTTTTGGCATGGCGCTTTCTCCGAATTATCCCGAGAGAGAGAGAGGTGATTAAGAGACGGGAATGTGACTGTGAGAGCAGGACTTGT